AGTTAAGTGGGAGTGTGGGGAAAATGGGCAGGTGCAGCAGTGGCAAGTCCAAGTCAGGTATAAAGGTGATGGGAAAACGAAATGAGAAAACCTAACCAGAGAGTTCAAGTGTATAACAATGAATGTCAATGGCCTCAGAGCAGAGGTCAAGAGACGTTGGGTAGAGTATCGCTCAGACGTATGAATGTTGACGTTTTTTTTATACAGGAACACAATTTTCGGTGTGGTAGTGAATTACGTGTGCAAGGGTATAAGTGCTATGCGGGAAATTCGGATAATCTCAAAGGTGGGGTTGTGATAGGCATAAGGGAGACCAGCCCTTTTAAGCTTGTAGCATGGGAGTGGGGCAGAGGGGGCCGGGTTGTGCGTGTGGTGGGTTTGTGGGGGAACATTCAGGTGGGTTTCGTGGGAGTATATATGCCAGCGACAACAAATCGACGAGTAAAAGAGGATTTTGTACGCGATGTTTTGGTTTATTTTCTCAGAAGTCTACCCTTAGTTTCTGTCATGGCAGGTGATTGAAATTGTGTGATCCGGGAAAAAGACGTCGAACCGCGTGGTGGGGGGTGTAATTTAAGGGTTTTACGTGAGGTATGCAAGCGATTGTGTAGTGGATGTTGTGGGTAGCGACGGGTGAATGTGGAACATACGTTTTGTAGAAGGGGTTACGCTGCGCGGTTGGACAGGGTTTATATCACCAACTTAATCCGTGGTGGCAGGGTCGATTGTGTTGATCTGGGTTTCTCAGATCACCGTGGTGTTCTGGTAACACTGGAGTGGAGGGCGCTATCCGTGTATTTACTAGTTATTGGAAATTAAATGTCAGCTTGTTGCAAGGAGTCGATGCTGTGGAAGCTTTCAGTTATGGTGGGTTGACTTCTGGAATAACGGGAATGGGATAGAGGATGTTGTAGAGTGGTGGCATTCAAAGGCGAAACATGCAATACAGGGTTTTTATAGACGGTTAGGGAAGGAGGAGGCGTGTTATAGATATGGGAAGCAAAAATATTTAGAGGGACAGCTGAGGATTGTTATGGTACAGGCGGGAGGTATGACCTAGCAGAAATAGATGTCTACATAGTCAATTATGGGAAATTCAGAATGATAAATTTCAGGCTTTGAGGGTGCGAGCTGGGATTGAGGAGGTGCTTTGGGGGATAAACCCTCAGTTGGGGTTCTGCGTAGTTTCAGAATGCGACGGATGGCGACGACAGTTTTGTCAGTAGTGGTCGGTGATGACTTGGGTGGTTATCATAAAGGACAAAGGCTAGTTACTACTGAGAGCATTGGGACCTATGCAGACCAAATGGTTTGAGAGAAAATGGAAGGTAGAGAGGGGAATCGAGAGGCAAGGGAAGCTTTACTGCGTGGCATAGTGGCAAATTTGAGAGACGTGGATCGAGAGGACATGGAGGGTTGTATATCGGAGGAGGAGGTTTCCAAGGCTGTTCAGGGACAGGCACTGAGAAATCACCTGGTTGGGATGGATACCAGGTGATTTTTATGTCGTTCATTGGAACTGTTAAAACACATGTTGGTTCGACTTTACAATTCAATGAAAACTAGAGGTAGCATGGGCGGTGAAGCGGGGTTGGGTGTTGTAGTATTGGTACCAAAGGCCGAGGTCTGTGAATCTTTGGAGGCATATAGCCCACATATTGATGGGGGCGATTATAAGATTTTTGTGCGTATTTTGGCAAACCGGATGAAACGAGTTTGGACAAGGTAATATGGGAAGGGCAATACGGGATTCCTGGCCGATCTATGAGAGATGGTCATCGACGCCTCAAAAGTTTCGTGAAAGATTGTAGTGGAAGCGGAGTCGTAGGATTGGATTGGGAAAAGGCTTTTGACAATGTGTGATAGGGAAACATTATTAGCTATATTATTGAAGCAGGGTTTTCGGGGAAGAAATAGTAGCGTGGGTACGTATGTTATATACGGAGGCACAGGTACGAGTCCAGGTTAATGGGAGGGTGGGGTCCGCGATAGGCATGGGTGGGGGCCTGCAGCAGGGGTGTCCCCTCTCGCAGCTTTTGTTTGCCTGTTTGCAGGACCCCTTTTATAGATTGGTAATGGGTGGGGTGGGGGGGAGGATTGTGCACAGGAAGAAGCAGTAGAAATTTTAGGTTATGTGGACGACACCACCATCTGGTGCATAGTAGGAATGTTTAGCGTTCATAAATAAGGTTATAAGGTTTTTAGCGATGCGTCTTCCATGCGCATTAATAGAGAAAAATCCAAACTTTTGGAGGTGGGGTCCTGGGTGGGCGGGACGTTAGGTATGGAGTATGGGTGGAGAACCGTTGAGCGGATAAAGATCTGTGGTGTGCATTTTTGCAATGACGAACAGGCAGCGCGTGCATTTAATTCATCCATTGTAGTTACAGCTGCAATTCGTAGGATGGCGGGATGGAGACCAGGTGATGTAACATTACACCAAAGAGTAATAGTTGTCAACGTACTGGTGTATAGTAAATTATGGTTTGTTTCAGCGGTCTATCCATTGATGACGGACGATGCGTTGCGGTTTACAGAGGAAGGCTTTGGATTTCATATGGGTTACCGTAGGCATTGGTTAGGGAAAGACATAGTTATGACGCACGTAACTCGAGGAGGTTTGGGGCTAATACCACTTACACAGTCGACTAATGGGCATATATGTACGACAGGAATACCTAACAAGGGGGGGTCAGGGGAGTGAGAGTTGATGCAGTGATGAGGGAGGTTCGACGATGGTGGGTGGGGAAGGACCTCACAAGGTGCGAAGCAATGTTACGGCACTTATTGATGGTGCAAAACCCTGGAGAGTTAAGGCAGGTAAACTAGATAATATAGGTATAACATCGGCGGAAGTCATCGGTGCTGAGGTTTTCCCAGGATATAATTGGAAGACTATATGGCAGGGTTCAAGAAATTGCGCTTACAACCACGGGTTAGGGAAACTGGTTACCGATTCCTCCTCGGGATTTTGGCGTCCAAGGCACAATTGTACATTATGGGAATGACCCAGGATCAGACCTGTGCGTGTGTGGGTGGCCGGAAACGGCGTTTCATGTCGTATACTTTTGTGACAGTTTACATAAGGTTAGGGATTGGTTCAAGGGTGTTCTCCGAAGAGTGGGAGGGGGGGTTTGTCGATGCTTAGAGTTTTGAGTCTTGAAATGGGAGATTGCTCGGATGCTGTACGACGTTCTGTGTCATATTTGGTACTTGGACTATTTATATGTGTCATGGGGTATGCGGGGGCTTAGGGGTGCGATGCGTGTCAAGGCGCTGATGTGTCATGTTTATTAGGACGAAATGTAGGAATAGAGAGGTATATGGGCAATGCTGGGAGGGAGCTTTTTCTTTGGGGTATAGGAATCTAACGATGGAAACGTTACGGGAGTAATGAGGTGGGGGTAGGTATAATCGCTTGGTAGGGCCTAGGGTTGGTCTCCCGGGGGGGGAGAGAAGAGTTAGTTTTTTTTTTTTTGGGCGTCTGGACTGTATGTTTTATTTGGTGTGTATGGTGAATCTGGGTGTAATGTAGGGTGAAGGAAGGGAACCTTGTGTGGTCTGGGGTATAGTGTCTTTCTGGCGTGAATGAGTATCATAGTCTGAGAAAGGGGGGGGGGGAGTGGTACTCAGAACCAAGGTATGGTTTTCTTATGCTGAGTCATGTTGAACCACTAAGTCACCAACAGAGGCTACGCCGTGTTTAATGTTTATGTTATACAAAATTTTCTAATTTGCCAGGTTGGTGTTAGTTGCATATAGTGTGAATTGTTTGGAGTTTTGTAATGCAATTGTTTTTGCGATGTATTTTGTGTGCACCTGTTAGTACTGGTTTTACTAAGTACATAAGAGTCACAGCAATGTATGTCATGCGACCTGCGAGTCGTAAAGTGTGTGCTGGAAGATTTGTGTTTTAATTAATGGTAGAAGTTTTAAGTGGGTAATAGTCTTAACATGTTTGTTTCAAAAAACACTTCTTTCCTATGTTGTGCTATAATTTATATGATGCGGTCTTCTTGAGTGGTCCATTATTGTGCCAAGTACTGTATATTACATGCCTCTCGATATCTTACTGATGATATTGACTATTTCACTTTTGTTACAAGGTATGGATCGGTTGTACGCACATTTGGTAGTAGGGAATAATTGGTGGGGTGAAGTGGGTTTCTGGGGGGGGGGGGGGGTTGATGGATGACTGCTTTAGGATAACCATAGTAAAAGTTTCTGTGTATTACGTCAGTTCATTCTATTGTTTATGCCATGCATTATTGTAAGCAGTACGATTATTTCCAGTGTATTATGCAGACACAGATTTTTACATATCGTGGATATTTTTTTTGTGTGTAACCACGGTATAGCTTTGTTTTGCAGGGTAGCTCCATTATGTTTTGTTGATATTATACGTCTTGGTCTGTATCCTAGGAATTGGGAAGGAGTTTTGCTTTTACACAGAATACTGATGTGTGTATGTAATATTGTTTATTGGATAGCAGTCCTGTAACGCTTTCTCATTTTGATTTATATTTGTTGTATGGATTTTATTAATAAAATATAAAAAAAAAATTGGAAATAAATAAATAAATAAATAAATAAATAAATAAATAGTAGTATGTCATTGATGTCAGCTAGGACTGTATACTTTGTACATGTACTTGTAGTAAATAAAGATATTATTATTATATTACACTCAGTATGTGAGCTGAATGCGCTACTGAGCATGTAGGTACTGAACCTCGGTACCTACATATTATAAGGAATAACTTATGTCTACCCTCAAGACCATTTACAACATTAAAAGTATACTTATAAAATAAAGTCACTTTTGACTTTTTTTTCGGGGTTATCCTATGCAGTTTACACTATATATGATAACTGTACTTATGTGTACCTGAGCCTAAATAAACTTAGGTACTTACTAAAGGTAAAAAAAAAAAGCTTTTTGTCTCCCCTTTACCCAGTGACATTTTCTGCAGAATATTGAGAGAGAACGTCAAGGAATGTGGAGCAGCAGCAGCAGCAGTTGTGGTGATTATTATCTCAACATTGTGAGAGGAAAACCCAGGCAGGAGGCAAGTGTTCACTACAAGGTTCAACCCACCTTGAACCTCCATGAATATATTACGTCAGGTTCACACACTTTTTAAGCCTCACGTAAGTCACATTATCTGTTTTTAATACCGTGATTACCCGTCCATGTGGTTTACCAAAATAGAAAAAAAAATATTTTTAGTTATCTTAATAAATTAGCTTTATTCAGGAAAATTACAACCGATTTGAAAAAAAGATTAGTGTGCAATGGTTCCGAGGGTACAATGTGTTATAGGGACACATTACTGATATATTATATAGACAACCTAGAACTCGGTAAATTTAGTTTGACCTATTTCCATTGTATTATTATTTTCTTTCGTGGTGTGATACATTTGTTTGCCATCTTACATTGACTCCATACTAATATTAAACATAATAACATATACTAAGGTATAAATGAATGCTTATAATGGATATGTTTAATTTATATCAGATAAGAGGTACAATATGGTATCCAATATGGTATCCTGCGTAGTTGTAAAGTCATTTAAGTCAGGTCGCAGTTTTATGGAGTCATAATAATGCTACGAATTATCCAACAACTTAAATTTAGGTTTATTTTACGTTATGTTAGTGCTTGTCGGTATTTTAATAAATTTATGTGTGAGAGAACTCGTCGCTAGTATTAAAATAAATCACTCCGACTTTTTTGGGTTATCCTAGGTTCTCTACACATGCTGCTATGTATGATAATTAATCTATGTAACTGTATTTGTGTATACCTGAATAAACTTACAAGTGGACTGGTATGGGTGGCATCCTGGGGGACAAGATTGAACGACCACAATGGAAATAAGACAGATAGTCTTCGAAGACTCACCGACTTTCATAATGGTTGGATAACACTCCGGGTAAAACCCTGAACATATTTTATATTATCTTTTATCTTAGGTGACTTGGGAATTGATCTGGACAACTATAGACCTACGTATATCAAACTTGCTCTTACTTTCTAAAATATTTGAAAAAATAATACACAGACGACTTGACTCCTACCTTGTATCCAACATCATACTTTACCCCTGTCTGTTTGGATTTAGACCAAAAAAAAAAAAGTATGAATGATGCGATCATACCAAATGCTTGAATTAATATATACAGCCCTCGATAAAAATGAATAACCACTGGGGCTCTTCATTGACCTATGGAAAGCATTTGATACAGTGGACCACAATCTCCTGCACCTAAAACTAAATCATTACGGCATCAGAGGACATTCCCTCGATTACTTAAAATCCTATCTCAACGATAGACACCAGTATGTACAACCAAATGGAGTCAGCTCCACTATCGAGCCTGTAGCTGTCGGAATGCCCCAGGGTAGTGTCTTAGGCCCACTTCTGTTTCTCGTCTACACCAATGATCTCCCCTATGCATCTAAACTCATTAAACCACTTCTGTTTGCAGACGACACTACTTATGTATACTCCCACTCAAACCCATAGAGATACAGCAAACAACGAGCTGCTAAAAATATATACATGTACTTGGATTATGACCAACAAACTCACTCTCAACATAGACAAAACATACTTCATGCTATTTGGAAACAGAGCCCTAAATATCCAACTTAACATCAATAAATAGTTCCCCTATTACAAGACACACTGAGGGTAATTTTCTAGGTCTTCACCTTGACTAATTTTAAATTTCAGTCCCATATCTAGCACATATCCAAGAAAATTTCCAAATCAGTAGGCATCCTTTCCAAGATATGATACTATATACCCCAAACAACACTCCTTACCCTATACCACTCTTTAATATATCTTTACCTTACCTATGGCCAATATCCATCTTACACCCTCTCTCTAAAATCTTTGAAAAATTAATCCATAAGCGTATCTATTCCTACCTCATCTCCCACAACATACTCAACCCCTGTTAATTTGGTTTCAGGCCTAATAAAAATATTAATGATGCTATTATCCACATGCTAGAACATATTTATACAGCAATAGAGAAAAAAGAAGTCGCACTGGGGATCTTCATTGACTTACGTAAAGCTTTCGATACAGTTGACCATGACTTGCTCCACATAAAAATTGTACATGGTATATCAGGGCACTCCTCAACTACCTAAGTAACCAGACAGAAGCCAATTATTGTACACAAAGTAATCTTAAGTAATTTAAGCCTGCCCATAAATTGCACTGCATACAAGGGGCATTGCAATCTGCACTATAAAAATTGTATTTTGCACTTCTCGGAAAATCTAGAGACTTAGTACCGAACTTGCACACGAAAATCAACTCACTAGAAAGCAAAAGAGACTTGGCAGACGATGCAACATCCCCCCAATGAAAAGCAGGGGTGTCACTAGCACGTTAAGAGACCATACAATAAGTGTTAGGGGCCCGAGACTGTTCAACTGCCTCCCAGCATACATAAGGGGGATTACCAATAGACCCCTGGCAGTCTTCAAGCTGGCACTGGACAAGCACCTAAAGTCGGTACCTGACCAGCCGGGCTGTGGCTCGTACGTTGGTTTGCGTGCAGCCAGCAGTAACAGCCTGGTTGATCAGGCTCTGATCCACCAGGAGGCCTGGTCACAGACCGGGCCGTGGGGGCGTTGACCCCCGGAACTCTCTCCAGGTCTCTCCAGGTATCATGTTCAAATTAATAAATAAATAAATAAATAAATGGTATTTGTGCCTGGGGATCAACCACAGCCAACCACATTAAACCTTTAATAACCCAACAAAAAGATGCTGTGCAGATGATTACCAGTTCCTGTGCCAGACAGTACACCCCACCACTTTACAAAAGCCTGAATCTACTAAATATGTATACGAGACATACACTCTTATTATTATGCCTACTGTATATATATATATACAGAACATTAACCTCCAATATAAACCCTCTGCTTAAACTTCTCCTTGATAGCAACAACAGACTACACAGCTGCAATACAAGGCACAAGGCACTCTGACATCCCTCAGTTTCACACTATGCAAAAATGCAATGCACATCAAAGGCTCGGAGATCTGGAATTTACTACTTGAACTGATAAAGGATCCCCTGACAAAATGTAGTGCTATGCTTAAAACTCGTAGCCATAGCTCGATCGCTAGCGAACTCAGCTCACACACTGAGGTCCTGAGTTCGAATCTCCTCCGGTATGGATGGAAAATATTAGGGACGTGTTTCCATAAGACACCTGCTGTCCCTGTTCACCCATCAGTAAAATGGGTACCTGGGAGTTAGTCGACTAGTGTGGGTCGCATCCTGGGGCAAAACTGACCTAATTTGCTCGAAATGCCCTACATAACAAAGGGTTTTCCATATAGTTGTATGTCATTGATGTACCTTGAAGGGTACAGGGTACATATGTCCAGACATTGAGTCAACTGTTTATGACACTATACACTTCATTCATTATACATCACACAATAATAAAAAAATTATAACTGTAAATGTAAATCACACATGTATATTTCTTACACATACTATATATAACTGTCACTTAATATATGAAAGCCTACACTTAATATAACTTCCTTTAAATATATAACAGTTAAATATATAAGAGACAGACATAAAACACAGTCTCGTCTCTTAATTTCTGTCTATAAACATTATAAACATTATGTGTATATATACACTTAAGACAAACTGAATGCCATCTGGCTTGATGCGGATGTCAGCGCTCTTGCGTGTGGAGTTCCTTCCCATGCTGCGTTGATGGGTGAAGATGGGTGATTGGGTGAGACAGCCAACCTCTGTTGTCTGTTGAGTGGGCGAGTGCCTTTGGGTGAGCTTCCCATTTTCTGTTGGCTAGCGGCGGCCGCCCATTCCCTTACATTAAATGCCCAGACTCATACATTTGATATATATTGTAAAAATACTAGTTTTACAGCTTTTTTTGAACCTTGGCTCATAATTTATTTGTACACTATAGTACAAGAATTTTGGACCACAATGTGGCCTCTGTCCAGTTCAAGCACGACCAACTTTGGAGGATTGCATACAAACAAGCAAAGCCATAAATGAATTGTGAACTGTAGATGAAACTTAGCTTGATGACGGCTTCACATCCCGCAGCCACCTCCAGAACGTCCTTGGAGCCGTTGATGCAACAGCACCTGGGCTGTTAATGTAAAATTGGTTGTAAGTATAATTATCCCTAAGGGGTGTTGTGTCAGTATTTCATTGAATAACTGAATACTGACGAGGGCCTTATACTCACTTGTGTTGGGCTCAGAAACCCACACCTTACTGCTGACTATAGGATGATTTTGAACTTCTTGTGACACAAGAACTGCGCTGTCCCCTGCATAACAAATAAATTTAAAACTTGCCTTGCTCTTGTAGAGTGAGCTAAAGTGTTGGTTGCACCTTTTGACAGCTATCCGGTGACTTGATTGAAGCTGAAGTGTCCTTGGATGTCCACATCTTCTACTCAGTCTGGGAATACGCTACACTCCCACTAGTACACTATGTTCCACAAGATTTGCTCTTTTCACAGTGATGTCATTACAGGAAGCTGTTCACACTTCTCTGTAATTGTTCTGCTGTGTCTGTTGAGACTCTTATTAACAAAATGTGCAATCACTAGTGTCTTTGTTATTACAGCATGACGCATGAGTTGTCTCAACTAAGTCTTAAAGGAATCTGCCCTGCAGTGCCTCCATCACCCTGGTGTGCCCTCCGACACAAAGAAGTATCGATCATACGTGTTTCCTTTGCTTGCCAAACTTCCAAGATGAAGCAGTGCAGAATGCTTGATTCTTGCTGTCTGGGCATAGATGTGAGCGTATGCTATCTTTAACGTGGTAATAAAGTGGGTGCAGGATTTTCCTTAATTGTCCTGCTAAGGTAAGAGATCGATTTTCTTTATTAATCCACATTGCATACACTGCAAGGCTCCAGGCGGACATCAACCAAATCTTTCAGTGGGCTGCAGAAAACAATATGAAGTTCAACGATGAGAAATTTCAATTACTCAGATATGGTAAACATGAGGAAATTAAATCTTCATCAGAGTACAAAACAAATTCTGGCCACAAAATAGAGCGAAACACCAACGTCAAAGACCTGGGAGTGATTATGTCAGA